ACCCGGAGAAAACCCACGCATGCATGGAGAGAACATGCAAACTCCACCCAGAAAGGCCCCTGGCCAGGATTCGATCCGGTGATCTTCTCGTTGAGAGGCGGCAGCTTTACCAACTGTGCCACTGTACCACCCATCATAAATGTTGAATTAATTGAAAAATGTAGTTTAGATATGTATAAAAAGTAGAGTATGTGAGGCGGTTTGTTGTGTCATTGTGTTCTTGTTTATTAAACTTTGTTAAACTTGAACCGTATAGTTAGGGGTCACAAGACTGCTGCTGCTATCTTGTGGTTAAAACCTTACACACTGTTGTCTCATTTTCACTTCAAATTGATTTTTGCTTCAACTTTTTGTTGCAGGCAGAAATCTACATACTGAAAATGTATTTAGATATTAACAAGTCCCAAGTTTCTTTGGCAGCACCCTTTAAAGATTTTTGAAGAAACTAAAAGGGTTACAAAAACACTAATTTGAAAATCTACGTGTTGGATTTATGTAAACAACCTAAATGCATAAACTAGGACATCAGTTGTGCCTACTGTAAAGATATACATTTAGTTTTTGTTTCCAGTTCTTCTTAGCAGTAATTACATGCTTTCATTTATGCTGATGCTGTCTGAAACAGTTGCCTAAAACTAAAGTTTCATAGCTCTCTAAAACATACTCATATTTCAAGTTTAAAAATATTATCATTCATCTTGAACTTTTCCTCCCTAATGATCTTGTTTTTCAACAAATTTATGTTGACAGTTTCTGCACTCTGCAACAAAATTTAGCTCTGCATCCATTCATTGTTTTGACAAAGGGAGTAGTAAATTCATTGAATCCCATGGTTCTTTCCAGATGTGGCACAGATCTGCAGGGACAACTTCGGAAAGGGAATGGTCCATTTCCTGGTCTTTGCATGCTGCAGACGGTCACCCTTTTTAAGTTTAGTCTGTCAATCAAACCTGGGACCGGGAGTGGAACAAAACACACAAATAGGTTTCCTGTGCCTGGGATGTTAACTTTACACCTTTTTCCCACAACCCTTCTTCTAAGTAGGGATATTGGTGGAGTGTGGTGTAAATATCATGACATCATTTAGGCCACCTGTCTTGGGGTAAGACAGTTTCCTCCCTGCATGCTGTCCACATAGCAAGAGATTGGGCTGGAGATGAGCCTGAGAAATGGCGGAAAATTGGCAACCACGAGTAAGACTTGCGAGGCATCTCAGCATGTGAAGCAGAGATTGGAAAGTGAGCTGTTGTAATTACAGACTGTGGAATAGATGTGGTACACATTAACCAAAATCGTTGAATCAACAAAAAATTGCTCAAGTACTCTTTTTTTTTTTTTTTTTTTTTTTTTTAGCCGTGGAGTGTTCCAAAAAGTGTTTCAGTCTCTTAGCTCTTCCATTGCTTGCTATGTTCCAATACCTACATCAATGTGCTGGCAAAATTCTTGTCTACATATATAAAATGCATTTTTTCACTACATTTTACGTCACTTTCAGAGTCAGTCAAAGAATCAGAGATTCTTTATTGTCATTCGCACCTCATGTGGTACATGTGGTGGAGCGAAATTATGTACACAGGGTCCCAGTTACATCCAACAATAAAATGTATAAGAAAAACAGTAATAACATCTAAGATATGAACTAAGAAAAACATCAACTAAATATACACTAAGCACTCATAACATAAAAACATTGAACATTAGCACAAACATGAACATGTACATGTCTTTGAGTATGTTAGAATATCAGAGTCAGAGTCAAAGTTTCTTTGTCATTCGCATCACATGTGGTACATGTGGTGGTACGAGATTGTGTACGCAGGGTCCCAGTTACATCCAACAATAAAATGTAAAAGAAAAACAGTAATAAGATCTAAGATATGAACTAAGAAAAACATTAGCTAAAAATATGCTAAGCACTAATAGCATAAAAACAATAAAAAACAATACGTCAAAAAGCAGCACGAACACGAGTCTGTGTGAGCAGATGAGCACACATGAACACAGCAACATGAAACTGATCAGCAGCAACATGAAACAGATCAGCAGCAACATGAAACAGATCA